AATTTTCGATTTTATTATTATTTAATTGCATGGGTATTATGATTTGAAAATTTTAAACGAAGTGGAACAATAATTATGGAAGTCACTGTATATATATTTTTTTAATTACCTTAGAAATTTTTTTATTATATGATATAATATTTGTACATCCTGTAGCAAGAAATACTGCACGCCATGCTCGCAATTCACGTTCTTGAAATTCATGGTTTGAACCATATACTTTACTAAGATGAGTATATAATTAAATTATATTGCTTTTTTGTTGTATTCAACTTTGAAACACTTGATACCATTCTTCAACTGATCCACTAACCACTTTTTTCAAATGTATTTTAAATAAATGTTCCATAATTACATTATTATTCCAATCTGCAACCGTACATTTATTAGATATAGATACTTGTGAAAAAATTTTTTGTCGTGTTTAATCTAATTTTTGTAAAGTTATAGGATGATTTGTAACAAATAAAGTATCACCCAAAATAGATTTTAGGCTTTCAGTTTGACACCAAACAGCATTAAAGGAAATATCTTTATATTCGGCAATTATTTGACTATTTTGATGAATTATAATTGAAAATAAATCTTTATCAATACATTGAAAAAAAACTGATTGTTTTTTTTTGTATTTATAAAATAATGATGCCGTATAACCATGACCAATTTTATCTTCATTTAACCGGGTTATTTTACCAAGACACCCAACAAAAACAGATATATTTTCTAATTCAACAATAAAAGGGCGAAATGTAATTTCTTCTAAAAGTTTTTGAGCTGTTTCAGGTTGGTTTAATCCTAAATAAGAAAGTCCTGCATATTTTGTTTTACTACCAAAAACTAACTGATAAGTAGAAGTAATAGCTTTGGAAGCATTTTCAACAACACCACTACTTTGTCCTCCTCCTTCACAAATATAACCAGGTTGTAAAAACTATGAATATGACGAACTACACGAATAATAAAAGAAGCTTTATTAAGCTGTATAATAATTTCAAGTTCTAAACGTATAGGAATTGGATAAAATGTACTTTCTTGAGTTTCTTCTTTAAAAAAAACCCACCAATCACGTAAATATAAACCATAATGAAATTCTGGTACAATATTACCAGTTGCAACAAGTTTTCCTGGTATTATATGAGCGTTCGTTATTGTCATTTTTTTGGGGAAAAAAAGATTTCAAACTGAGTTTTTTTATTAATTAATTTAACGCCGCAATTTATTATTAAATGTCTATCAATTACATGCGAATCGGCAATTAAGTTCTGAATTAATGCCGAATGGCTATGTCTGATTGGAGTCGATCAGTGTCTATTAGTGTCTGAATTAAAGCCAGTTTTAGGCTGATTTATGGTTGAATTTAAGTTCTGAATAGCCATGTCCAATTGGAGTCAATTGGTATCTATCAGCACCTGTTTTTGCTGATCGGAAAACATGGAAAATCGGCTGTAAATAGTATTAAAATCAGCCTAAAATCAGCCATCTGATTTTTAGCTAATTTGGACTATTTTGACTAGTGTAATTGGAATAATAACAGATGTGAATATTGAAATACAAGAAATCAGATGTGCATTCTGTTTTCAAAATGTAATAGTAGATATAGCAGTAAAGAAATGCACATCTACATTTATTATTAATGGAGCATCTGTAAGCAGAATAAAATTTCCATTAATTAATGCCTTTGTTCTTACAGTTCACAAAGTTCAAGGTTTAACATTACCTGATATATCACTAAGTTTAGACTCCCAAATGTTTGAAAAAAGGCAGGCCTATACAGCAATAAGCAGATGTAGCAATTGGAATAATGTTAAAATTAAATCTTTAAGTAAAGGAGCATTCACTGTTGACAAATCTATGATCAAGGAATATGAGAGATTAGTAGAAAAAGCATCTGAACTATTATCTTTATCTAGACCATTACAAACCAATAATTAAACATTTTTATTAATACCAAATATCATTTTATTTATAACTTAATAAAAGATATGTCAAAACTAATTATTAGAAAGCAGTGCAATAACCATACCTAGAGACGACGAAGTCGCCGCACACCAACTTAATCTAGTTGTAATATAAATTTATAATTCTGGCCAGCATATAAAATTGGCCTGTATTATATTTAAATGATTAAATGACAAATACCTTAAATGACCAATCATTTGAAGAACATTCAGAAATCAAAATAGCCAAATCACCGGTCGAAATCAAATAATCAGATGTGTAAAAATCAGCTTAAAATTAGTAAATCTTCAAAAATCAGCCTAGTCATATCAACTAACGTTGTCTCTATTATGAATCGAATCCAGGGAGAATAATTCAATTCGATTAGAAAAACCTAAAAAAGCAATAGTTCTTGATCGTTTTATAATTAAAGATGGTGATAGGCAACATTTCTTAGTCAGTGACCCTCAATTAACACTTTCAAAATTTTAATATTATAGCTTATCTTGAATAGGCCGTGGTATTTTTGAGTGTCTAAACAGAGTTGTCGTTTCAGTGCATGTGTTAAAACAACTCGTTTCTTTATTTGAAAAGTATCTTGAGTTGACTTTCTTTTTTCTTGAAGTTGAGACATGATTTTATAATGCAAACAAAGATGTATTATGAAAATTATCACATTTCTAAATATCGGTACATCATTTATAATATTATTTATAAAGGGGTAAAAGAAAAGTATCGGTATATGTTACATCGTGAAACTATATATAATATCGGTACAACGAAGTTTTTTTTATTAATTGTGAACCGGGACATAGAAAATTTATCGGTATGTGCAATTATCGTTACATAGGATATCGGTACATCGAGGTCCGACAGTAATTTGAATAATAATCGATTATAAATTTTATGAACGATTGATTAATCGAATTTTTGATTCGAACCTTTAATTACAATTAATAATACATAAATTGACTTAATTTATGGTATAAAGAACTTTTAAAATTGATGATCAAAAGCAACATTTACATATATGTAATTGTTAATATTCATTTAGATTTCATAAATTTCCTATAATGAAAACTCGTGTAGTTCATACAACAACACTTTTGAATACAAATGTAGTACGCAGAGTATTTTGTAACTCGCGGGAATCTGCACGCCAATGCAAATATTTACCAATTTCTAAAACTGTAATGATCGACAATGCACTTAAACAATTTGTTGGGAAAAATATTACGATACGATAAAAAATTTTTTGACAACCTTATTTTCTTTTATTTAAAAAAAGGAACCGTAAAGGTTTAAAAGTTTGTCAATAAAACGTATGAAATCGTGGTACAATAAATATCTGTTCTACTGTAACGTCGTTGTCATCGATCAAAACATGCCTTAATATTTTGAATTTAAAACAAATTATGTATAAAATATCAAATAAAGACGAACTAACGGAATCAAAATGTTATATTGATTGGTTAGAAAATTCAATTGCCGATGAATGTCTCAATTATTACGAATATTCAGTCTTCAAAGATATAAAACCAATAGGAAGTGGTTCATTTGGAAAAGTCTTTTGTGCGAGTTGGAAAAATACAGATGCGATTTTTGCTTTAAAGTCATTTGATAATAATAAGTTGACCCTTAAAGAGATCGTCAATGAGGTATATGGCATTAATAATTTTATTAAATGATTAAAAAATTAGTTTAAAAATTAATTTCGTATTCTTTGTAGATAAAATTACAAAAAAAAGTTGATTTTCATTCAAATATTTTACGATTTTATGGAATAACAAAGATAGAATTTGGTAAGAATAAAATCAATACTTAAATATATACATGCATCAATTAAATATGAATCTTTAATTTTTACAATTTGTATTTTAGATGTAATTCATCAAACGAATAAATACTTACTAGTTTTAGAATATGCCGATAGCGGTACATTAAATACTTATTTAAATATGAATTTCAATGAACTTGATTGGAATGACAAATTTCAGCTAGCATTGCAACTTTCTAGTGCCGTAGAATGCATTCATGAATGTAATATTATTCATCGAGATCTGGTAATTAAGTTATTGTTTGTAAATTCCATTATTGTATTTCTTCTTATTGTATATTTTATTGATATCCTTTAAACTTCAGCACGCGAGTAATATACTGGTGCATCAAAAAAATATTAAATTGGCAGATTTTGGTCTATCAAGAAAAATCGCCGAAGCATCAAGCAATGCAACAAAATTACTTGGCGTATTACCTTATGTAGACCCAAAATTATTAGGTAATCTGGGTCAAAAAGACAAATTAAATAAGAAATCTGATGTATATAGCGTTGGAATGCTCATGTGGCAAATTTCAAGTGGACATCAACCATTTAAAGGTATACATCATGACATAAGTTTGAAATCGGCCATACAAGATGGAGAAAGAGAAAAAGTTATTGATGGTACACCATTAGAATATAGTATTTTATATCAAGGTATTAAAGTTCTATTAAATCTTATATTTTTATTAATATAGAAGAAAACCTAATAAAATATTTATTAATTAGAATGTTGGAAATACGAACCAGAAGAACGTCCAAATATACGAGAAGTTGTTTCAGCTCTCAAGAAAATAGTTTCTTTCGAACCAAATGATATTAATGAAGAAATAAATGATCAAAATATAAGTCAAACCAGTATCAAATCAAACGAAGTATCTATAGATATCAATAAAAGTTTAGAAATAGACGATTTATTTGAGTTTGTAAGCGATTTTAGTTCACAACAAAGTCAAAATTTTACTCAATCAAGAGTATTAGATTCAACTTTTCAAATTGCAAATTTACCAAATAATTCAATAGAATCAATTTGTAATAATATGGAAAATTTAATTATCGATAGATTAATTAAATATGTAGTTAAAAAACATGACGAAGGAATTACTTTTGATTACATCAAGCATTATATCAAACAACCAATATTGCAATTAAATCAAAGAGTAGAGAATCTCTTCGATTGGCTTGAGAAAAATCAAGTTAAACTGCAATACACTTGGTTTCTTGGATTATTTTATTACTATTATATTGGTGTAGAAGAAAATAGTAGCGAATCATTTAAATTATTTTTGAAGGCAGCAAATGAAGGTTATTCAATTGCACAAATTTATCTTGCTCGATGTTATAATGATGGATATGGAATTGAAAGTAATAAAGAACTAGCATTTTATTGGTATCAGAAAGCTGTAGAAAATGAAAGTATCATTGGACAATTTTATTTAGGATATTGCTATGAATTAGGTATCGGAATTCAACAAAATACAAAGAAAGCAGTATATTGGTATCATAAAGCAGCCAGCAATGGAAGTATGATTGCAAAATTTTACTTGGCAAATTGTAATAAGTTAGGAAAAGGAATCGAAAGAAATAAAATTAAAGCATTTAATTTATATAAAATTTTAGCTAAACAAGAAAATGATCTTTTAGTTAAACAAGGTATAACCGATGCTGATGGTCAACTTCAACTTGGAAATTGTTTTCATGGTGGAATTGGAATAGAAGAAGATGAAGAACAAGCCATTTTCTGGTATACTAAAGCGGCAAAAAGTGGAAATATTGTTGCAAAATATATTCTTGAACAAAGATATAATAAAAAAATAAATGTCAAAATTAATAAGAATAAAGACATAAAGCTTTATAAAATAATATATTCTGAAGCATTAAGACGAATCGGAATGAATAATTACAATGGAATTGGAACATCTCAAAATTATGAAAAAGCATTTTGTTATTTTCAAAAAGCAGCGGAAAATGGAAATAAAATTGCACAACATAATTTAGGTAATTGTTATAGATGTGGTAAAGGTGTAGAAAAGAATGAAAGAAAAGCCTTTGAATTATTTAAGAAATCAGCCGAACAAGGTTATTTAAACGCACAATTTCGACTTGGATATTGTTATGATAATGGAATTGGAACTGATATTAACAAAGTAAAAGCATTTGAATTTTACAAAATGGCTGCTGAGAAAGAACATAGAAAGGCTCAAAATTTTCTTGGATATTTATATAAGGATGGTGATGGTATAGAAAAAGATTTAGAAACGGCTATTTATTGGTACAAAAAAGCGGCAGAAAATGGTAATTATATTGCACAATACAATCTTGGTGTTTGTTACCAATTAGGAGATGGAGTTGATAAAGATGAATTTAAAGCTTTTGAATATTATAAATGTTCAGCTGAATATGGATATTTAGAGGCACAATTCCAACTTGGTAATTGTTATTATGAAGGGATTGGAATTAATATTGATAAAACAAAAGCATTTGAGTTATATAAAGAAGCCGCTGATAATGGACATAACATAGCTCAATGTAATCTTGGTTGTTTTTATGAGAATGGTGAAGGTACAAAAAAAGATTTAGAAAAGGCTATTTATTGGTATAATAAATCTGTACAATAATTAACAATTCATTATTAATTTTTGATTTTTCGTGAGTGCTAATACTCAGAATAGCAAAATGAAATTTGATTTTATAAATTTTTAATACTCATATACAGTGGCGCTCAAAAGTATTGCATCACCTGAATACAAATTTTAAAATGGCATTTTCTTGTGATTAAGACGGCGC